ACATCTGGGGCCAGATTTACGAAGCAGTTACGCAAGTACTTACGAACATATACATCGTTCCTCAATCTTTGATAACTTTGGTTACATTTATTAAACAGTTTACAGCCATGAAAACTTGCCAATCAACTGTTGTTATTGTTATAAACAGCCTCCTGGTGCTTCGGAGCTCATTAACTGTTTAATAATTGTAAACAAAGCCGCCAAAGATTGAGAAATGTACAGGTTCGTAAGTGTTTGCGTAACTTCTTCGTGAATCTTGCCCCAGATCATTTGATGTTCCCAATTTTCTGATGGGAACATCAGATCATTTGATCATTAGACGAGGGAATGGGAACTAGTGGGAAGGACGAGGGGACAGGAATGGGGGATAGTGGGAGGACGAGGGGATGGGGGAGTGGGGGAAAGGTAGGGAGGAAAAAGGGACGAGGGAGTGAGGAATGGTTGGGAGGACGAGGGGAGGGGGAAAATGGTGGGGAAGACTGGGAGACAGGGGAAGGTTGCTGTGGCTCAGCAACCCACACGCGTTGCTGAGCCACAGCAACGCGTGGCCGGGTACAGTTAGTTGTATAATAAGTGTAATACATTTTATAGTAATTCACTTCTCACTTTTTTTCTTCACCTTGAAAAACGAACATGAGTTTTGGAGAACTCCTCTTTTAACTAAACCCTGATGCAAGAATAATAGAGGGATAGAACCCCTAAACTAGAAGATAGTAAATACAGAATATGCGGTCATATTCAATGAAACATTTATATATATATATATATATATATATATATATATATATATATATATATATATATATATATATATATATATATATATATATAAATAAAGGTACTTCGCTGACGACCTCTATTCGAATCGTAACCCTGTAAATGTTCAACCCGACCTCATAAACAAAGGCCAAAGTCCATTCCATGCACCCGCCGAACCCGTTTGTGAATGAAAAACAGTTTACACCAACCCGTCCTCAGACCAAGTCCATTCCATCCAACAGTCGACCACAAAGACGCATTCATCAATCTTAACTTGCTATTCATTCAAAATATGATTTTGTTCATGTATAAATTAATATTGTTATATAGTAGAATATTGTACTAATATATTTAGGCATTGGTTAGGTTAGGTGTTTAGGTTCTCTGGAGATTATTTGTAGTACGTGGGTGAAGCATTATTTTTATTATTTTTTTCTTTTTCTTCTTCATCTCGTTTTTAGCCAATCACTTGGGCTGGACGGTAGAGCGACGGTCTCGCTTCATGCAGGTCGGCGTTCAATTCCCGACCGTCCTCAAGTGGTTGGGCAGCATTCCTTCCCCCCTGTCCCATCCCAAACCCTTATCCTGACCCCTTCCCCGTGCTGTATAGCCGTATTGGCTTAGCGCTTTCTCCTGAAAGTTCCATTCCATCCATCTCTTTCTTCTGCTTATTATTATTATTATTACTATTATTATTATTATTATTATTATTATTATTATTATTATTATTATTATTGGTGTGTATGGGGACCGGGCCGCGGGGACACTAAAAGCCCCGAAATCATCTCAAGATAACCTCAAGATATGGGTACTTGTGGTAGTACTCGGGGTGGATCTCTTGAGGTTATCTTGAGATGATTTCGGGGCTTAAGTGTCTCGGCGGCCCGGTCCTCGACCAGATCTCCACCCCCCAGGAAGCAGCCCGTGACAGCTGACTAACACCCAGGTACCTGTTTTACTGCTAGGTAACAGGGGGCATAGGGTGAAAGAAACTCTGCCCATTGTTTCTCGCCGGCGCCTGGGATCGACCCCGGGACCACAAGATCACAAGTCCAGCGTGCTGTCCGCTCGGCCAACCGGCTTCCAGTACACCTACCTTGAGGTTACCTTGAGGTGCTTCCGGGGCTTAGCGTCCCCGCGGCCCGGTCGTCGACCAGGCCTCCTGGTTGCCGGTCTGATCAACCAGGCTGTTGGACGCGGCTGCTCGCAGCCTGACGTACGAGTCACACCTGGATGAGTACAGCACAGTACTCGGGGGGACAAGATGGAGGTGTACAAGCGGACGGGCTTGACAAAGGGAATATTACTTGGCTACCAAAACTATCAACGCATAACAGATGGTGTGGTTAGCTTTGCTTTGACTAGGGGGACCTCCCTAACCTGGGACATACATTCTTTCTTCGTTAGATGACCAGGGAGGCCTGGTCGAGGATCGGGCCGCGGGGACGCTAAGCCCCGAAACCACCTCAAGATAGATGGCTCAGCTAGTGCCGTTGCAACCCGTTCTCGCACTTGCTTACGGTCAATATTGGCTTATTTAATAAGTGCATATGTGACATACTAATTGATTGTAAATATTTTAGTTTACCTTGAAAAGCTTCATAGAAAACACCGACCTCACCTAACCTTCCTAGTATGTTAAGATAAGCATCTTATTGCTTCTTATTTTCAATTATTACTTAACCTATACTGTCCCGCTCTATTAGTCGCAGCACCGTCTGAGGAGACTGTTTTAAAAGTGGCTCTAGTAAGGCTCTAACAACACATGATAAAATTGGCTCTAAGAACGTGTTCATAACACGTTGCATTTGGCACGTTGGTTACCATAATGTTCATTAACGTCGCATTAGTCGAGGGGTCGGGTTGACTAACTGGAAACTGGCGCTCCAGTCCATTCACGATTGAGAAGTAGGCCAGGGTGCTGAAGCTCTGCCCACGCAAGTACAGCAGGGCGAGAGTCGTCTAATGTCAACTACTCTTTTCACTTGACTAATTTTTTTTTTTTTTTTTTTTTTTTTTGAGATATATAGAAGAGTTGTTACATTCTTGTAGAGTCACTAGTACGCGTAGCGTTTCGGGCAGGTCCCTGGAATACGATCCCCGCCGCGAAGAATCGTTGTTACAACCAAGTACACATTTTACTGTTAAGGATTTGCGCCCAGTAAATCCTCCCCGGCCAGGATACGAACCCATGACAAAGCGCTCGCGGAACGCCAGGCGAGTGTCTTACCACTACACCACGGAGACTACATTGTGTTAGTTCTGAGTATGGACTAAAGCAGTGTTTTAGCACAAGGGAGGTTGTATAAGTCCTGTTTACACAACCCACCCACGAACGCTTCCCACTTATATATTTTTTACACAATTCGGTACTAAAGTAGACGACTTCTGACTCCTATTAAGAGGCTTAGAACTTTCTTTCCGAAATATCAAGGTAATCTTATCGTACTAGTTTTACCTGGAACACGACAAGACAATTGGTTAACAACCTGGGGCCAGATTCACGAAAGCACTTACGCAAGTACTTACGAACGTGTACATCTTTCCTCAATCTTTGACGGCTTTGGTTACATTTATTAAACAGTTTACAAGCATGAAAACTTGCCAATCAACTGTTGTTATTGTTATAAACAGCCTCCTGGTGCTTCGGAGCTCATTAACTTTTTATTAATTGGAAACAAAGCCGCCAAAGATTGAGAAAAGATGTACAGGTTCGTAAGTGCTTGCGTAAGTACTTTCGTGAATGTGGCCCAGGTACCTAATTACTGCTGGGTGAACAGAGGCGTACAGTTAAGGATTGGGGCCTAGTCAATCCTCCCCGGCCAGGATTCGAACCCAAGCCAAAGCGCTGGCGAAACGCGAGGCTAGTGTCTTACCACTGCACCACGGCGCCAAGCAGGGACCCGGTCCGTCACACAAGGTTCCACCACCACCACCACCCACACAGCTTTCCTGCAGCCAAGACTCATTGTCACCTACCAGCACTTGTTACAACAGGGCCTCGCCGTCAAGGAGGGTCCCACGGTCATCCAAGGCGTCACCCACACCCGTCATACACCCTCACCCGTCCTACACCCACACCCGTCATACTCCCACACCCGTCATACACCCACACCCGTCCTACACCCACACCCGTCATACACCCACACCCGTCATACTCCCACACCCGTCATACACCCACACCCGTCATACACCCACACCCGTCATACACCCACACCCGTCATACACCCACACCCGTCATACACCCACACCCGTCATACACCCACACCCGTCATACACCCACACCCGTCATACACCCACACCCGTCATACACCCACACCCGTCATACACCCACATCAATCACGTACACAAGTTCCCGTCCACACCCAGCCTCGAACCCCGACCACCACCACCACGGTCTCTCCCGCCATGCCTCATGGTCAAGTCCCTGCACAACCACACAAACTCTCATCACCACAACTAACAACCCACTAGACAACCACTCAACCACACCCAACCGTCTCCACTACCCGTGTGTCCACACCCCGGCCAGCCACAACATCCACACCAAATATAATGATGTCTGCCCAACCGGCCTAGCTACACCCTCCCACTAGCGTCACCCACAGTCAGTCCTCCGACGCTGCTGATGTTTTGGTAATTACAGACGGGCGGAGGAGATGTGGAGAGCAGCATTTTAATTTTAGCAAAGAATTCATAATATTGCTTTTATTGCGAGATACGCCAAGCATAGGACCGGGGAATTCCTCACAACTATGGCGGTGGAAACCTGTATATCATTTCCTCCCATAGTTGCCTAGTTAGGTCCCTCCACCCTTACAGTCTATGAGGGTGGATCTTTGACAAGCCGCCGGCTTCCTGTCTTCATGGAGGCCACTAGTGTTAGTGGCCTCCCTCAGGTAAATTCAGGTAAGTAGTTCTTACTATTTTTCAGCCTGCCCTTCCCTACAGGAAGAGGCAAGGGCGTCCCGTTTTCTATGCCGGCCACAGGTGGAGCTGGGGGGGGTGGATGCGGTATTTTTACTCCAGTGCGTGTCGATGGTGTCTTGCGCGAGGGTCGGGGAGCACCCAGCTAGTGTTCACCATTCCTCTTTTATACCTCGGCCTCTGAACGTTTCCTAAAGCTACTAAATCGGTATAAATATGCCCTGAGCGGTGAGGGACAAGGTGGTCTGCCGTCGTGTGGTAGGCTAGGAATTCCGTCACTGTTTACACAGCTGCAAATGTGAAATCTGAGATGGTCAAAGTGGAAGGGGTGCCTTTCCCGTCAGTGTGTCAGGCTCTGCAGTGACCTGTCACCCGGTGTCACTCAAGGGCTCTATATAGGCTGTCGGTAGTGTTGGGCTGGAGATTGATGGGGCCGTTACGGGGGCACTTGATGTATGATTCGACATTTTTCGCCTTTCCTGAGTGAATGTTTGAGAGGCTTGAGCGCCCCGGCTTGGCCTTTACGGTGGGTGGGTGGATCACTGCAGCATGCTGCCATTATCAACATCTCCATTGCGCTTAATTTTCTCTATTAATTTTTAAGAGGAATTATAATACGCTTATTCTCTGACACTAGGCGCACAGCGAGTGCTTAATTCTCAACAAATTTGTCAACACTGTTATATATAGGGGTTCATGGGTCACAGGAGCCGGATGTGTAATGTGATTAAAAGTTGTGAATTGTTGGAGGTATTTAGATTAACTAGACTGCAGTAAAGCTGTTAAAGGATCATTGAGACGAACCTAAAATGCTGTTATATTTCACCCGTTTGGTCTTGCAGTGGTGAGTCAAGTTCTATATTTCCCCTGGTCGGTCTGTATAGGAAACTTAAAACTGTAATTATTGTATGAAAATGCTTTTTGTGTATTCGTGTGGAAGCCTATAGTAATGTTGATCTTCAATGCAGTGAAAATAACAAATCGGGAAATACGAAGTTATATATACATTGTGGACTAGGCTTCAGGCCGTGAAGCAGGAGCAGCAAGTGATGCTAGACAAGAGTGGAGTCCTAAGTTAACTTCACCCAACAAGGTCATTTCTTCCACCTGACAGCCATCACTTCAAGGTATGTCCATCTTCCTCTCCTTCCTTGCTACTAATTTATCTCTCACCAATTTCCATGTCCATTTGTTTTTGTCCGCTAATAGGCTTCTGTGAATTGTAGTTGTGTATTTACCTGAATTTACTTGAAGGCTAGCAACACTGGGGGCCTCGACGAGGACAGGAAGCCGGCGGCTTGTCGTAGGTAAACACCCCCCCCCCCCCCTATTTGCCTTGATGCCCTCAGCACGTGTGGTCTTCACCTTGGGCAGCTGCTCATTCATTAATTGTTGGGCAGGTGAAGCTGTCTTGGATCAAATTATTTGAAGGAAGTGAATCATTTGAAGGAAGTGAATCATGACGCTCTGAGAGCACTTCTCTTCATTCTTTTGTCAATATTTATTTCCTGAAATTTAAGATTATTTAGGTGCTAATTGTAATTTGATTTAGCATATATCTTTCTATATAGATTAATGGCCTATTCGCGTGATAACATTTCACGACAATCAAGCCTTTCTTATGGACGTTCATTTTGGACCCAAAATAAATATATTCCAAAATACTGAAGGATATCTAGAGCCCGCTTGAGCGTGGGGAAGGAAGCGACTGTTAGCGTGAAGTAGTAGCCTCAGGCACTCTCACGCTTGAGCGGGAATGGTTCGCGCTCACCTCGACTCTATGGTAATGAGAAATATAATTTATTTATATACGTACATACAAGAAAGTAAAATTTTTCTGTTGTTATAAAATATGTTCCTGTTGGTATACATGGAAGTGACTGTTGCTTAAAAAAAGATTTAATTCTAAGATAACCTGCTTTGTGTTGAGCGCGAAAGCTGTCGGACGTGTTCGAAGGTCAGGCTTCTTGCCTTTCAGGCGTGAAGCCTTGGTCGTGACTACCCTCTATAACATGATTTAAAAGGCGACCTGACGTCATTGTTTGCCTTTCTGGCTTCATCGGGTATACCTCTGGGAGCAGCGTGGGCGAGTAGCAGCTAAGACCTGAGGGAAATATGTAACCTTTAACGTCATCGCTGTTGGGAGAATCTTGAGAAACCATATTCTCACATCAATGCACAGTGCACAGACCTTCGTGCACAGCTGTTCTATAAACAAACCTAACCTAATTCAAGTAAAGCGATCAAATGTCATGTTTTGTATATATTATATATTATACAGTTAATATTAGGTGTGTGACGACACTGTGACGTCATAGTGTTCATTCCGGTACAGGTTTTGGATCCTGTTGGTGTGGGCGGCAAATTCATGGATTCGTAGAGGCAGTTCTTGAGGGGGCGGGGAAAGGTGTGGACAAGCTGGAGCAGACGCATTAAGGTGTATCAAGGTACAACTATTTCCTTAACACATATGAGGTTTACTAAACCTCTGTGGTTTAACAAACCTCTGTCTTTGAAGACTATATCATTTGCTGAGCAGTTTGTTGTACTTCTCTCTATAATGAGTCATTAGTGAAGGCCTGTAGAAAAACCGGTGGTGGGAAACTGAACAAAAGGTTAAAGAACTGCAGATAAAAATGCGAAGAAATCCTCCATTAGGCTATAAGGATCCTGCCTTATTGTAAACATTCCCTTCCCTTTGAGCAAGCTTTTCCATTTCCCACATTCGGGGACACGAGCCTCGTTGGTTTATGAGATTCCCTTTGGCCAACGATTCATCTTGCCAGGCTACAACCCACAATAGTTGCCTAACTAAAAAGTACCATTTACTGCTAGGTGAACAAAGGCATCAGGTGAATGGGATAGTTGCCCCCTCCCCTACCCACTATCGAACAGGTCCAGAACATGTCCCAGTCTTATGGATTGTACTTACCTAGTTGTGCTTGCGGGGGTTGAGCTTTGGCTCTTTGGTCCCGCCTCTCAACCGTCAATCAACTGGTAATCTATACTCAACAATTGTGAGTTATATTATTTGCATATATAATTAATTATGAAGATTTTCCTAAGACACATGATATATATTGTCAGTCGTGATACATATTGACACAATACATACGGACATATGATACATACTGGTAAGTGATACTTTTTGCATGATACATACTAACAGGTGATAAATACAGATTCATGATACATACGTATGCATGACACTGATAAGTGACACTTGATACACACTGACGTGACACATTCTTAAACGTGATCCATACTGATACGTGATAAATACTAAGAGATTATACATACTGACGTGATACATACACATGGTACATACTGACACATAATACATACACGTACGTCTGATACATACTGATACGTGACATATGACACACACACACACATTATACATGCTGACAGGTGATTTATAACCGACATGTGATACGTATTGATACATGTAACACATAAACTAACAGAAAGGTGTGAACACAGGCTGGTAGGTCATTCGTGTCCAGTTGTTCACTGTACCTAGATTGTACCTTAATGGGGATTTTTGGAGTTTTTCTACTCCCCAAGCCCGGCCCGGGGCCAGGCTTGACTTTTGAGAACTTGGTCTATCAGGCTGTTGCTTGGAGCTGCCCGCTGCTAACCACTGCCATCTAACCACTAACCACTGTAAACCACTAACTGCGTGTCAACAGCACAGCTCATGAGAGATTGAATGTTCTCTGGCCATTGGCAGTCGATATCTAACAAAAGATTTTAAATTAAATGAGAAATAAATGGATAATTCCTAGCAACTTTGAAACCACCTACAAAGGTCATATTATTTCTCACCTGTAGTCATAGTCATGTTTCAAAAGGAGCGCTCACTACTAGGCTGTTACAGCTAGCTTAGCGTTCAACACTAGGCTGTTGCCATTAGCCTAGCGTTCAACGCTAGGATGTTACCATTTGCCAAGCGTTCAACGTTAGGATGTTACCATTAACCTAGCGTTCAACGCTAGGATGTTACCATTAACCTAGCGTTCAACGCTAGGATGTTACCATTAACCTAGCGTTCAACGCTAGGATGTTACCATTAGCCTAGCATTCAACGCTAGGCTGTTACCATTAGCCTAGCGTTCACTACTAGACTGTCACCATTAGCCTAGCGTTCAACACTAGGCTATCACCACTAGCCTAGCGTTCAGCACTAGCCTACCAGTCTAGCGTTCAACGCTGGGCTAATCCCACTAGCTCATAAATTAAATACAAAAAAGATGAAGTAATAAGTAAGCTAATATTGAACTGTGAAAAATGTTGTAATTTTGGAGTGGAGGAAAACAAGTTATCTGGCAGATAGCAGATGACGACGAGAACTTGGATATTCCCCGCCGGTCAAGTTGGCTGTGTCAGGTGTTTGGTGAGCCCGCAAGACCGGGTGTACTCACCTATTTGTACTCACCTATTTGTACTCACCTATTTGTGCTTGCGGGGGTTGAGCTTTGGCTCTTTGGTCCCGCCTCTCAACTGTCAATCAACTGGTGTACAGATTCCTGAGCCTACTGGGCTCTATCATATCTACATTTAAAACTGTGTATGGAGTCAGCCTCCACCACATCACTGCCTAATGCATTCCATCCGTTAACTACTCTGACACTGAAAAAGTTCCTTCTAACGTCTCTGTGGCTCATGTGGGTACTCAATTTCCACCTGTGTCCCCTTGTTCGCGTCTCACCAGTGTTGAATAGTTTATCCTTGTTTACCCGGTCGATTCCTCTGAGGATTTTGTAGGTTGTGATCATGTCTCCCCTTACTCTTCTGTCTTCCAGTGTCGTAAGGTGCATTTCCCGCAGCCTTTCCTCGTAACTCATGCCTCTTAGTTCTGGGACTAGTCTAGTGGCATACCTTTGGACTTTTTCCAGCTTCGTCTTGTGCTTGACAAGGTACGGGCTCCATGCTGGGGCCGCATACTCCAGGATTGGTCTTACATATGTGGTGTACAAGATTCTGAATGATTCCTTACACAGGTTCCTGAACGCTGTTCTGATGTTAGCCAGCCTCGCATATGCCGCAGACGTTATTCTTTTTATGTGGGCTTCAGGAGACAGGTTTGGTGTGATATCAACTCCTAGATCTTTCTCTCTGTTCGTTTCATTAAGTACTTCATCTCCTATTCTGTATCCCGTGTTTGGCCTCCTATTTCCACCACCTAGTTTCATTACTTTGCATTTACTCGGGTTGAACTTCAACAGCCATTTGTTGGACCATTCACTCAGTCTGTCTAGGTCATCTTGTAGCCTCCTACTATCGTCCTCAGTTTCAATCCTCCTCATAATTTTTGCATCATCGGCAAACATTGAGAGAAACGATTCTATACCCTCTGGAAGATCATTTACATATATCAGAAACAGTATAGGTCCAAGGACTGACCCCTGCGGTACTCCGCTCGTAACGTCTCGCCAATCTGAGACCTCACCCCTCACACTGACTCGTTGTCTCCTGTTACTTAGGTACTCCTGTATCCAACGGAGTACCTTCCCTTTCACTCCAGCCTGCATCTCCAGTTTTTTCACTAGCCTCTTGTGTGGCACTGTGTCAAAGGCTTTCTGACAATCCAAAAATATGCAGTCTGCCCACCCTTCTCTTTCTTGCCTTATTTTTGTTGCCTGGTCGTAGAATTCAAGTAACCCTGTGAGGCAGGACCTGCCATCCCTGAATCCATGTTGATGCTGTGTTACAAAGTTCTTTCGCTCCAGGTGCTCCACTAGCTTTCTTCGCACAATCTTCTCCATCATCTTGCATGGTATGCAGGTTAGGGACACTGGTCTGTAATTCAGTGCCTCCTGTCTATCCCCTTTCTTGTATATCGGGACTACGTTAGCTGCTTTCCAAATTTCTGGCAGTTCCCCTGTTGCCAGCGATTTGTTATACACCATGGAGAGCGGGAGGCACAGTTCTTCTGCTCCTTCCTTTAGTATCCAAGGGGAGATTCCATCTGGGCCTATAGCCTTTGTCACATCCAATTCTAGTAAACACTTCCTTACTTCCCCGCTGGTAATCTCAAACTCTTCCAGTGGTTCCTGGTTAGCTATTCCCTCTCTTATCTCTGGGATTTCTCCTTGCTCTAAGGTGAAGACCTCTTGGAATTTCT